ACTGTGCCCGACACGGTGCTTGGCAGGATGGTGGCATTTGCCTGCATCTCCTTTGGCATCATCCTCAACGGCATGCCCATCTCCATCCTCTACAACAAGTTTTCTGACTACTATGCCAAGCTGAAGGCTCACGAGAATGAGACCAGCCACTCGCTCAAGCTCTCCAGGAGGATCCGCTTGAAGGAGCGAGTCCTGTGGAAGCTGTCGGAGTGCTGCAGAGCTGACCCCCACTGTCACCACTGACCACCGTGAAGCGACCTGCCCTCCAGCCTGGCTGTCCCTCCAGCAGGTCCTGTCCCCCGGGGGGGCTTCACAACTCAGGCAGCGAGCAGCCAGTCACAGCAGCGTCTGGGGGTGGCTGCTGTTGTACAGGTGCCGCTGCCAGCTCGGGCTGTTTGGAGGGATGAAACATGCCCGTGACTGTGTTGTGACCTTCCTCAATATTGCGTGCTGGAGCCTGCTGTCCTGCGGAGCGGTCGGTAAAGGACCAGCTAAAAAGCGTGCTGCCCGGCCAAGGCAGCATGTGTGTGTGTCGCGGTCTGGGGCGTGGGGCAGTGAGAGGTGGGATGCATGGGGCTGAACTCGTCACCCGCTCTGCTCCTGGGTTGAGTGGAACACACGCAGACTCCCCTCCCCAGTCACGGACCCTGTGACTCCTTCCCCGCTCAGCAGACGTTCAGCCCAGGCTGAGTCCATGCGATGGGGATTTGGGTGAAGGCCCGCAGAAAAGACTGCAGCCGCGCGTCCTTCCAGCCAAACCCACTTTCCTTCCCGCTGCCCTGGGAGCCTGGGGGCACAGTCCTGGCTTGTGGTACTGCTGCAACGGGAACTGCGGGCACCCTGGGGTGCAGAGCGGGCAGCCAGAGCATCCCCAGGAACAGGCATTTAATAAACCAGGCCAAAACCATTCATTGACTTAGATTATTGGCCAGCCGCTTCATGTAATTCAGTAAACTGGGCATAATTTGGGGGTGGGGATGGAACGTCTCCCCAGGGCTCACAGCCACCTCTCCTGTCCATCAGTGGGAGCTCTTGTGGAACAAGAGCCTGTCTGCATGTTGGTTTTGGGATGAGGTGTCTGGGCCTGGGTGCGTAGGAAGAGGAGCTGGGGTATCTGAGTGTGCTCAGGACGCACGGGTTGGCTCTGCCCTGTCTTCACACCCCGGGGGGGTGGGGGGCACATTTGTGGGGCACGGGGGAAGGATTTACCCTCCAGTGTGTGACTGTATCTGGTCAGTGGGCTCCCGGCGGGATTCACCCTTCCCTTGGGTGGGATGGGGAGAGGGACCCCAAGCTGCAGGGCGGCCGGTGGTGGGGAAGAGCTGACAGCTGTGGACGCTGCTTTTGGGTGAGTGGTGGGAGGAAACTGGTACCTGCCAGGTGTTGCGTTAAGAGGCAGAGCAATTTGGCAGAAACTAAACTCCGTTGCGTTCCAGTCGATCCTCGGATACCAGAGGCACTGGGGGCGGCTGAGCTTCGGTTCTGAGCGATGCCCAAAGTCAGCGTTAGTAGTCCGGTCGCGCCCAATACCTCCGCTGGACGATCACGGGTCCAGATGCACTACTTGCATCACACGACCTGCTCAGCCAGACACCTCCTGAACTCACACGGCCGCACTCAGAGGTACGGTTGTGTTCAGGGACAACACACACGCGGCTGAGTCAAACAATAGTGCGATTTATTGAAGCGACAGACGCACAAGTTCTTTGGATTGCCGGTGATAAATTCACTGTCTGCAAAGCACGTGCAATTAATTACGGTGGGTTACACACGTGTGGGATGATGAAACAACTCTATAGAGCTTCCTAAAGTTCCTGGGGATTCACTCGGGATAGCCGAGTGTTCGAATCTTACCCAAAAGCGTCCCACTGGGGGGGAAGAGAGGGTCAGCCCGTCGGCGGATCCAAAAAGTCAGGACTGATGGTGTCTTCCCTGACGTCCAGCTCTTTTCACACTATTTTATAGTGTTTTACTTTGCAGATGGAGCTTGAGTGACTCTAGTCATACATACCTTGATAAGGATTGGTTCAGAATTCTCTCGCTTCACGTTTAAAGGTCCAGACTAGGAAAAATTCAGTGCGCACGCTCATTGAGGGGTGGTCACACCTTGGGAGGTGGGTAACTTTTGAGAGGGGTGTGCGTTTTAGTAGTATAATGATATTATAATAAGCAAAGTTCACTCCAAGTACAGCATTTCATCAAAGTTGACAGGTCACTGACCCAGGGCATCGCATGTGCAGCTTATTAATGTACACACTGTGTATGTTTAGATTCCCTCGTTCACAGAGCGTGGCCGTGACGTCTCCACTCCGCTCCACCCTCCCTGCAATTTCTCCTAGGGTCAAGCACATCAAGTTCCCCTGATGTTGCCAACATCTGGGGTCGCCCAGGGAATTGCCGCGGTACAGACTCGTTGTACATTAGCTACGTTTCACCCTGTCTCAGTGTTGGTTTTAGAGTGTAAATTTCTAAATTGCCCCTCAGCGATTGCTCCACACCAGGCCAGGGTGGGATTTGGTCACCTTGCAAGCTGGGCTTGGAGGTGAAGAGCTGCTGGGGGGTCCTGGGACCATGGTTAAGCTGCTGCTGTTGGAAACTGTTGGAAAGAGGCTGGAGAGACTGAGCCTTCTGGCAGGGCAGCCATGCTCCTGCAGAGTCCTGGACCACAGGGGACAAGGGGGCTGTGCCAGCGGGTGCGGGACAGGGCTATGGCCCCCAGCACCCACGCCCGCTCCCTGCCACCCACATCAACACCCGCCTTCTGTACACCTGCCAGCACCAACCCAGCCCCACAACACTGGTCATCTCTGTTTTCCACCCCATTTCTCTTCCACGAGGAACCCTTCTTCTGGGCACAGCATAGCCTCCTCTGGCCATCTTCACCAAGAGCCGTCCTTCCCCACCACCTGCTGCCCTGGCAGCATCACCTCCGGGATCATCTACATCCCTCCTCACCCCCAGACCCTGTCACTGCATCCTCCCACGCGCCCCCGTCGTCTGCTCGGGGATCCCTGCCCCGCATTGTGGGCTGGCTGATGGATCCTGGGATCATTCAGCTTCCGAGGAATGGGGCTCAGCAACTGAACCTCCCCCCCGCCCCGAGACTGCTGTTGCTGAATCCGCATCTCTCTGCTTCCACCGCCGGCCTGCAGCAGTCCCACAGGCAGCCCCTCGGAGAACAGCGCGTTTAATAGTTCCTCTGGATTCATTTTACAAGTTATAACAACGCAGAAATGTACAGACATTTACAGGACACTGTACAGGCAGTTTCTGTCATATATTAGTGCTCTTGATATATACATATAGTACAGCCTATGGGAAGCCTCTGCATGGGCAAGGAAACCTGCACCCCCGCACAGGGCACCCCAAAATGGAGCTGTTGCCCCAGGGCTATGAGTCGCACGGCCTCATTCAGGTCGCTTTAATCAGAGCTCAGCCCTGAGCCTTCCTGGGCACTACCGGGGGGTGATGCCACCCGGGACAGAGCTGGGCAACCCCTTGCTTTGCTCACCCTGGTCTCTTTTGGTGGGTTTTGTGGGACAGAGATCCCTGCAGAGATGCTCCGGAGGGAGTGGGAGCAGCCTCTGCCCTGGCAGCATTTCCACCTTCCTGTTCTTCCTGCCTCAGTGGCAGGCGGCCACCATGTCATCGTACTGTTTGAGCACGACGTTCTCGTCATCGTCAAAGTAGAGGAGGTTGATGGAGTAGAGCTTGTCAGGCACGCAGCAAGGGCTGCTGACACCCTCGCTCAGCTTGAGGGCGTTGATGATGGACTGCACGGTGGCATGGTTCGTCGGTCGCATGTTCTCGCCCAGCGGGAAGGGGCAGGAGCCCTTGCAGTGGTAGGCATTGTACGTTTGAGCACGACGTTCTCGTCATCGTCAAAGTAGAGGAGGTTGATGGAGTAGAGCTTGTCAGGCACGCAGCAAGGGCTGCTGACACCCTCGCTCAGCTTGAGGGCGTTGATGATGGACTGCACGGTGGCATGGTTCGTCGGTCGCATGTTCTCGCCCAGCGGGAAGGGGCAGGAGCCCTTGCAGTGGTAGGCATTGTACCCTCGCGGGGAGATGATCCAGCCAGAACAGCCGATCTCCTCGAAGGCCACAGACAAGGGACGCCTCTGGCA